GGGACAGGTGGACTTGATGATCCTCTGGATTCCTTCCAGACTTCAGATGCCGTGATATCATATTTCAAATATCTATTTTGTGCTTGGGCGTGAGTTTAACTAATGAACAGCTACAAGGGGAAGCCCCTGCAGCCTAGCGTTCATTCCGTTTCCAAGGCATTTCCTTTCTCTGAAAGTGCCAGTTGCTCCCTCTCATATTTTCAATACAAGGCCCATTGATGACCACAAACAGGAATGCCCAGTGCAGCTGCGGGCCCACTTGAGCCCTCCAAGCCGACGCTCAGGCCTCTTTGTGGGCTCTGTGTTCCCAAAGCCTGTTGTTGGAGTGATTCTGGAATCCTCAACACCTGCACACCAGCTTCCTGAGCAGAGCCATTGGCCCCACCCCCGCCCACCCTCCATCTCTATTTGCATCTGAAATGCAGCTGCTCTGGCCCCTGAAAAGGGACAACCAGAGGGACAGGACATCTCCTTGTTTGGTCTCCCTGAATGAGTCCAAGCCAGTTTGAAGCTCCTCTGAGGAGAGCCTTCTGTGGCTTTGCCATTGTGTTTAAATGAGCTTCATCTGCAAGAGAATTTTTTTTTTATTAAAATAAAATGAAACGACCACAAAAAAGACCACAGCAAAAGACATCTGGTCTTTCGATGAAAGCTTTTCCCTCCTCTTGAATTATACTAAAAAGAAAAAAGACAAAGAGTGGGTGGGGCCTCATTTGTACTGCACCGCCCCCTCCCAAAGAAAAGCAATACAAACAAAATTATCTCATGCTGGCCACAAAGGAGTATGGGACCTCATAGTCCCAGAAACAAGAGACCAGAGGAGAAAGACAAAAAGTCTCTCCCATTTCTCCAGCATTGTCTGCACGTTCCTCACCAGAAACCTTTAATCCTGGTTGCTTTTTATGAAAGAATGTCAGATCTTATATTCTCTGTGCACATTTCATAGATAAAATACTTACAAACTGTTTAGCCATTATGAAACTCTTCCCTGGCAACTCTTTATTGAGTACCATAGGTGGGTGTGATCCAGGCGGCACCTGGCAAATATTTTGAGAAACAATGATGTATAGGACCAAACCCCCAAATCTTTATGTCCACACTGAACTCATACCTGTCTCCCAATAGCTGCTGCCTCTCTGCTGGGTTTCCTGCCTCTCTGAATAGCACCCTGTACCCACATCAAATTCCTGGTTATCAACCTCAAAGGTTCCTTCCTGCTAAAGCACGTGACATCTACCCCACTGCCCTACTGCCAAGATCTGTCAGTGGGCTGCCTAAGCATCTCCTAATATCTTCTGTTCCCACCTTGACCATCATGGTTGTCTGATTCCAGGCTACTTTCCTCTCTTAGTTGACCTGTGTCTAGACAGGCCCCACAGCCCCATTGTTATCAGTGATCACCCCTTGAACAAAACACTAAGTAGTTCTAGGTTGGAGGCTAATCCCCCAATGTGGCTTCTCAAGGGCTCACGAGATGGATTCTCCCTCCTGCTTTCCTAACCCTACCAACTCTGTTACTCCAGACCAACCCAACTTCCTCCAAGTACTCCACCTATCTGTGTTCCCTGGGGCTCTGACACATTGATTCTTTTCTCTCCCTGGAGCACTCCCCTGATTCTGCCTAGAATTCACTTCAGCTGCTACCCTTCCGGGCAATGGTCCCTGACCTCAGCTACCATTCCATGTCTTCCGATACTCCATCACTCGGTAAGGTGCTCTCAGGGCACCATCATCAACTGTCACATGCCACTTCTTCAGTTTCATTTTATCACTTAATAGTCCAGTTTCTTTGCTGAAGAGTCTGATAACAACAGCAGGGCATCGATCTTCTATCAGAAATTAATTAACACAGTTCCAGCTCCTCAACTGCTACTCCCATGCTTCTGTCCTTGTGCTGAAAAGATCACTTTCAACAAAAAGCAAAACAAAACAAAATCCTACATGTTTGAAAAATGGGATTCTTCCCCTGGGCTTTTAGGTTTATTCAAAAATGGCACATTAGCACACACTAGAAACTACAATTTCATTTCTTGCTCAGACAGTATATCTATTTACACGAACAGCAACCTGAGGCTCCTTTACATGCAAATTCACCCTTAAGAGAGCTGATCACCTGACTTTCGACCCCCTCCACACACCCTCCTATCATGAAGTTCCCTTGCTCAGGCAACACAGGTTGTTGTCCTGTGGAAGGCATTCTGTGATTTTCTTAGGCAGTCTCTTCTGCAGCCTCTCTGATGCCGGCACCCTTTCTTCTCTACTGTCCTGTGAAGGAACAGTATAACAGACAGGTGATGGAACTGGCTGTGCTCACACTGTGGGGTGTGACAACACTGGCTCATCATCTCCACTCTGCAACTCAAATGGGCTAACTTTGTGTTTCTACGCTAGGACCTCCTCTAAGAGAGCGGAAATCTCGAAAGAGGACTGTTGCATACAGCAGGAAGTGTCTTTCTCAGCTTGAGAACCTTGGTAGAACCATAAAAAACAAAGGCAACGGGTTTCAAAGCCCAGCCCTGCTGGCAGGCTCGAATGGAGAGAAACAGCTGGAAAGCCAGCTGGGCAGTTCTATTCCCCCCTTCTAAAGTTACCATTCTCATCATCTACCCAGGCTGGCACTTGGCTGGCTGACCTTCCATGTCTGCTATCCACCACATAACTTCTTCAGAGTCAAGGGAACCACCAACATTTTAAGGTAACAATTATAAAAACAGTAGCAACAGTAGCAACTGCCTTCCTGGTTAAAAACTCAACCATTTCCTTCCAGGCCCAACGAACAGAATAAATTGTTCTACACTGTTGTTTTATGATTTGCCAGTAGCTGAGTGGCAATTCCTTTGTTTCTTTTCTGCTCACCTCACATTCTTTCTCCAGTTTTATTTCCTTAGGAAGTAGAAAAGGCACTAGCTTTTAAAGCCAGACAATGACAGAGTTTTAATCAAAGACAGTCTACCAGGTTGCTACCTGTGGCTCAGTAAGGCAGGCTGAATTTGCTTGCCACTAACCCCCCTTCACATACCATAATTCTAGAAGTTAAAATCTAGGCTTAGAGAGAATTGACATGAAGACTCCAGGCTGAGGTCCATGCTCTTGAAATTCACTTGAAATTAAACCAACACTCCTTGTCACAAGGTGGGCCAAGAGAAACTGGTTCTCTCTTCCACCCTGGGTTCAAACATATGGATTTTGGAGCAGGAAGAGAACAAGGACTAGTAAAGGTGACAGAATAATAATCAGTTGACTTTATTCAGAATCAATATTGTGAAAACAAATATTATCATATATAATATATTTAATTTATATATAACATATATAAATTATATCATATAATTATAATATTATATATTAATTATATATATAATTTAATGTACAGTTGTTGTTTTTTTTAACCAGTGTTTTATAGAGAGAATCATTGTCTCTCCTGAAAGCACACATAGCTCATTCCTGCTCTTGCAACTATTTGCATAGCTGTGACATCCCAAGAGACGTCAATTCAAAACCTCACAGCTATGGGTTCTGAGAAAGCACAGTGAAATAAATGTAGGCTGTGGCATCTCAGAGCAGGAAGTGATGGGAAGAACCAGACCTCAGCCTTTTGACAAAGAATTGGGAGAACAGTGACATTTCATATGCCTTCCCCAACATTTCCTTTACCCTCTTTGCCCTGTGTAGAGGACAAGAAAATGCTGTTTAAAAGTGTGTCCAATGGTTGAGTTGTGTGTTCTCTGCGGATTGCCTTTTTGGTAAGGGAAAGACAGTGACTAATGCAGTCAAAGGAGAACAGCTTCAGCAGGGGTACAGGTAGCCTCGCCTGCGGTATGTTGAAAGCAGCAGCAATGTCTAAACTCTGATGCATGAGCCCCTGAACTTTCAACAGAGGAGGAAAAGAAAAAACATACAAAAAAATCCCCTCACATATCCTGCTGACATCCTAGCATCTCAAAGTTCAGTGCAAAGCAAACATCAGTGTGAATCTTATGGCTACCTGCAGAATAATGATGGCATGGATACTCTCCATTTCAGGGCTAAGGGGTTTAAGTATTACGAAAGTCAACATGATGTTCCTATCAAACTAGGTAAAGATGCAAACAGCATCTTGACTAGCTAGCACACAAACTGACATTAAGAAGGACAGAACATTAGCAAAATAGGAGGCCACAATGAAATAGCAGAAGGGGTCTTCAAGGTAGGAGAGACAAATCATGTCTAAAGAGATGACCTTCATAACTGTGAACCAAGAAGAGCACAAGCAGGAGGAGGAACAGCCTGTGTGAAGCCTCTGAGGCAGGAAAGAGAGTGGCCACTACGGGAGAGTGGGGGGGGGCAGGCTTACGAAAGAAGTGTACATGAAGTTAAGAGGGAGCTGAGAGGAGTAGGTCATCTCTCATTGTATGCGTATGAATTTCTCAATGAAATGGCAGGATAATTTTTTAAAAGACACATTGCTGGAAACGAAGAGGCTATATTAAAAAATAGAAGCCATAGGAGGAACTCGGCACTTCTATGTAGGTGAGGAGGACAGAGGGAAGCCATCAGAAAGTTTTAAACAGGGACGTGACTTGATCTAGTTAACATGCTGTTTTAAATGACCTTGTCTACTGCTCGAAACAGATTGGATGGAACAAGGAAATTGCTCCTGATGTCCTCACAGGAAGTTGTTGAGCAGAGCTCCAGGACGGATCAGTAGTGACTGACTCAAACTACAGGCCCTTTCTCTAAATCAAATAACAATTGTTTATGATTTATAGTCTTAAAAACACACATCGTATTTTTCAGATGTCTTATCTTATCTTATTATCTTATCTTATTTTATCTTAATTATCTTATTTTATTATTATCTTATCTTAGCTGACAAAAGTTATAGATGGTTGCTACAAGGACGTGCAAATTATAGACGATGTTCCTGGTCTCCCTTTTCTCCCTCCCAGATGTTCCCAATGGTGGTTGAGATGTGTCGGAACAAAAAGCGATACAATATAGGTCACTTGCATTGCGCTCACCTACACAGCTTCAACCTCATTACACAGCAGCAGCACCAAATGTCAGCGGCAGGAAGTATCTAGCAAGAATTAACCACACTTTTTTTTTCATCCAAACTCCAGAGTCACACACATTTACAGTTGGTTTGACCAGGGTTGTAGGTGGGTGGAGTGGCTTCTCACATTTTTTAACCAATAGGATTTTATGGCAGTCATCAAAACAACAGCCTTTCCACAGCTGACCTTTCATGACAGAGGGTTTGAAGGGAAGAAAAGCAAGGAGGGAGAAAACATGGACTTTGCTCATTTGTCATTCTAGTAGCCGAGCACTGGATGGGTCTAATGTTGCAGACACATTAATTTGATTAAGATACAATCCATGGGTCATTCAGGCATATAAAGTACTCTTGCTTAATTGCAAAATTAACAATGGAACGGGATAAATCATTACCAAACTGGAGGTTATTCTGGGATTCATGGACTATTTTTTTCCCTTCACCCAACTCATTTTAAAGTTGGTTTTAAACCAACTCCATCTAAAGTTGGTTTTGACACTTGGTTAAACAATAAATCTGGACTAAAGCAACAGTGGGCATATGTCAGCTCTTCAGGGCATCAGCAAAGGGAACGTAGGCACACTGAGAATGGGAGTACTGGTAAACCCATCTTTGTAAGATGGGTTCCTTACAAAGATGCTTCCTGTAGTCCCAGTGCCTCCCGTATTCCTAATCATTACATGATTCACAGGACTTGGGAACCCATCCATCACCTCAAGAAATCTCTGAAGACTGAAGGCTGAAACTTAGCTTCCATTTCTTATCACCTTGGATATTTTTTTCAGACTAGCCTAATTTTGAAGCTTAAGCAACTTTTGTCCAATCACTTATTGACTATTATACTCCAAGCACCATGATAAATGATGAATGAACAAAAAAAAAAAAAGCAAATCTCTCTCTCTCTCTCTCTCTCTCTCTGCTTTTTTTTTTTTTTTTTTTGGATTTTTGAGACAGGATTTCTCTGTGTAGCCCTGGCTGTCCTGGAACTCACTCAGTAGACCAGGCTGGCCTCGAACTCAGAAATCTGCCTGCCTCTGCCTCCCAAGTGCTGGGATTAAAGGTGTGGGCCACCACCGCCCAGCTCAATCCCTTTCTCAACAAGCTTCTAGCCTAATCAGTCACTGCATTCTTTCCTTTTGTGATTACATAAAAAGCACCTAGCTACTCAACAGAGTCCACCGATGTGCTAGAGCAGCAAAACTTGAATAGACCATAAAGACAAAAACAATCTCTCAGGGAATGGATATGGTTTGAATTGGCCTTACATTGAAGTAGAAAGAGTTGGCCATGAAGAGAGGAGAGGAGAGAGGAAAGAACAATCCCCTCACAGACAGTCCCAGTAGGTTCTTGTGGTCATGTGAGAGTGGAAAACCTATCCCGTCTCATACAGAAGAAAGAATTCTGGATTCAAGTTCAGGAGACATTGTCCTATATCTATGGCCTTGAGCAGGGCACTTCACTTCCAACTACCTTGATTTCTTCATCTACAGAACGAGAATAAAGACCATGCAACGGGTAGTTTTATGTCAACTTGATCCAAACTATAGTCATCTGAGAGGAAGGAACCTCACTTGAGAAAAAGGCCTACAAAACATTGGGCTAGAAGTAAGCCAGTAGAGTATTTTCATAATTGGTAATTGATGTTATAGGGCCCAGCCATTTAGGTCTTATGTTTTGTAAGAAAGGAGACTGGGCAAACCATGAAGATCAAGCCAGTAAGCAGCACTCCTTCATGGCCTTTGTATCAGCTTCTGCCTCCAGGTTTGCATTTAGTTTGAGTTCCTACCATGACTTCCCTCAATGAACTCTGGATATGTAAGCTAAGTAAACCCTTTCCTCCCCAAGTTGGTTTTGGTCACGGTGTTTCATCAGAGCAATAGTAACCCTGACTAAGACAGAAATTCAAACCGGGATTGTGGGGTACTTCTGTGACAAGCTTGACCATGCTGTCTTTGGGAGGATTGTAGAAGGACTTTGGGCTAGAAAAGGCATTGACTGTTAAGAGTTCAGTGGGCAGTTCTGTAGGAGCTGAGAAGATAAGAATGTTGAGGCCAATGCAGGTGATAGAGACCTAGGTTGTGAAGTTTCAAAGGGAAGTTTAATTCTCTTCCACGGCCATTTACTATTTTGAGTTAAGATTTTGTGGTTCTCAGTTGTAACTGGAGAATTAGCTCTGGTTAGCAAAAAAAAAACCAAACAAACAAAAACAAAAAACAAAACAAAACAAAAAAAACCAGCACCACTATAGTGAAAACTTACTTTAGTAGGACAATTGATACTGGTTAGTTGGAGCTCAGAAATTATTGGTGATTAAGAAGATACCAGAATCATGGAAGGGAAATATGGAAAATAACATTTCCTCAGGGTCAGCAGACAGAGCTGTGTACCATAGGTTGCCAAGTTTGTACCTTGTGCCAGCAGCCAAACACTGCAGTAGTGTGTAAAATTCTCCTACGTGGTAATGGTTTAGAAGGCAAGGACCAGTCATGGAGATCAGCTGGAGCTTGGTACTCTTCTGGGTTAGAAGAGACCATTGGTGAAAGTGCAGCCATGGGAGCAGTTGAAGACAAAGGATTGAAGTGGTCATGAAGAGAGTTGAGGCTTGATATCATGAAGAAAGCATGAGAGAGGCTATTGGTGAATGCAGCCCAGTGGAAATAGAAGGCCCTAGAAGTTTACTACTACAGGATGACTGCCAAGAGCCAAGAACAAACAGTATCAACCTTTGTTGTGTCAGTGGAGCTGACCCGAACATTGAAGCAAATCTGTATGTAAAGCAGAAGGTGGAGTCAGAGCAGTGACCTAAGCCCTTTGGTGGAGCTCAGAAGATCATGAGTGAATCACACATTGAACATTGATTTATTTACACTATTGGATTTTGGTTTGGTTTTGATCTGATTGCATCTGTGCCCGGTGTTTTTCCTCTCTTAGATTAAGAAAGTATTTATTTTTTTATTGTTCTGGATCCTACAGTTGGGAGACTTTGAACATTCAAAGAGATTTTGGAATTTTACAGAGATTTTGTATTTTAAAAGAGACTGGATATTTTTAAAGAGATAGCTTGTAAAGTGTTTGAATTTGTAAGGCCATGGAACATCTTCAGTGTATAAAAACTCTTATCTTGTAATGTCGATGTTAACGTGCCATCTTGGGGATGAACAAGAAAGTAAAGTTTATAGCTTAACAGAGATGTATTTATGTGTCAATTTGACAGGCTAACTGTACAGGCTAGTTTTATGTCAGTTTGACACAAGCTATAGTCATCTGAGAGGTGAGAACCTCAATTGAGAAAAAGTCTCAGAAGAGTGGACAAGCCTGTGGTGCATTTTCTATATTAGTCTGCCTTGGCTTCCCTCAGTGAGCTGTGTCTTGGGATATGTAAGCCAAATGGAATCTTTCCCCCCAAGTCACTTTGGTCTTGGTTTTCCTCACAGTCATAGTAACCCTGACTAATACAGAAATGTTGACCTCTTTCCCGTCTACTTCATGGGTCCTTTTGAGAGCCAGTGAAATGATACATACAAATTTCAATGAACGTGTAAGGAAATGCTAGGCTTCAAATCCTTTTTGATATCTATGGAGCAGAGACATCACCTCAAAGGAGTTATTAGACACAGACAGCAAGCCACCCACCAGCTGACATTTGGAAGACCATTTATTCTGTGCTCTTGCAAATGATTTTTGTTGCCAATACAGCAACAGATTCACCATCTGAGAATTTCTCAGAGCCAATGGTCACATGGAGAACAAGTGACATGTGACTTTTGTTATAGTCTCCACCAGCTCTTTCAGCCCTGTTGTTTCTCAACTATCTCATACAGTATCCTGTAGTCATGTCCCACAATGCATCCTGCCTTATTTCTGATTTATAGAATCAAAGTAATCCTTTTAGTAATAAATGCAGTCCCAAGAGATCTGTAAGATAGGTCAAGAGCATTTCAAAGAGGGCTTGCCTCTGGAACCCCAAACACTTTTGAGTTTAAAAAAAATTAAGAAATGAAAAAAGAGAACTAGTTATTGCCTTGAAAAGATACATCACTGTATGATACTTAAGATGAAACTCAAAAATTATGGAGATCTTGCTTTCCTGAGCTCTATACCCAAAGGCTTGAGGTGTTTGAGGTACTCACAGACACCAATAGACAATTTTATCACTGGTAAGTTATTCTTTTGCAGAATGCCAAGGCTCCATTCTTTTTATTTTGAAGTGAGATACTCTTTGAAACATGACATGTCAGTGGTGACAGTAGCTTAGAGCCAGAGCAGGCCGTGACATTTGTTTCAGTCATCCCAGATGGCAACTTCATGTCTTTGTTCTTCTGGTCTTAGTGAAAAGAAAAAGCTTGTCCACTCTGTGTGGACAGTCCAGAGGACTGAGTGGGCAAATTAGCTCGACTCTGTAGCTTGAAGCACACTCATTTACATTCCCAACTTTGAGCTCTTTTAAGAGTTAACTCAGAAGATAGATGTGATCTCTACAATTTCTTCCAGTTCTGGTAGTATGAAAAACTAGAATTCCCCCTTCTGTATTCCATTAACTTTGCAAGAGCCAATAGCCATGCAGAAGAGGATCATTTAGGATCCTCTTTTCCCTCCCATCTAAAAGGAAGCTGATATCTAAACTATAGAGTCCTTGGGAGCTTTAGATGTGATAATATGCCTACAAGGAAACTTTTAGCCAAAACTTAGAAAGAAAGCTGCCCCCACACACCATGTCGCAAGTTCTTATCATCTTCATGGTCTGGGTACATGGTCACTGACCTACTGTTGACCACAATCAACTCCATGGTCAAATATAAGAATAATGTTGTAAGTTTTCTTATTTTGCCCAAGGGTCATGTGGAAAGTCTATCAAGTTTTCTGTTCCTTCTGGTCTGGAACCTTGTGACCATGGCCTACAGTTTGCTTCAGGTATCTGAGATAGAGCCCACAGGAGTACTAACCTATGTAGAGAAGGACAAGGCATGGTATCGCATACTTTTACTCTCAGAATTTGGGAGGCAGATTTGGGTGGATCTCTATGACTCAGAGATCAACCTGGTCTTGACAGTGATTTCT